AAAAGAGACTCAAGGTGTAACTCACCTGAGATGCAGACCGCAGGCAAACCTTTGGAGGAGAGGATATCAGCCAGGTGCTGAGCTCTGCAGAACAACAGCTCAACTCAGTCTTTCATTACTTTCAATAAAGATCACAACACTTTTGGAAATAGAAGTCTTTGAACAATAAAGACAAGGGCCCGTATTCATAAAGATTCTAAGAATCCTTAGCTTAAGAGCGTTTCGGGACCGATCTGAGAGCAACTCTGAGTAAGGAAAAGACGAAAACTTTCATCTTAAAGAGGAGGCGGATTAACCCCATTGCTATGTATGACACAATTTTTTGAAGGCTGTGATTGGTTGGTTGTCCAAGAAGGAAAAAAATAGTGATTTTAAGTATAGGGTCTATTCTAAGCCTTCACTTTTAAATTACATGCGTAATTTTTCCCATTTGACAGTTCGTTCACACACACACACACACACACACAAATCTTTTTTGTTTACCATGCTGTTAATTTCCTATAGGGTATTTGATTGGCTTAGAATGATAACACACTGATTGCTGGTATGTCTATTTAAGTGGTGGTTTGAATGTTGGTTTTAATGTAACAAACATGCAATAAAACCAAGAAGGACAAGAAAGCCCGACTGGATAGGGTAAAAGTGTTTACTGTTAGCCCAATTAGTGGATGAACACAAGGCCATCTGTAAAGGATCTATAGCGTCTTATTAACTCACTGTTATCTATTGTCTGCAACACATTTCTTCTCCCTCTTCATCATTCTACCATTTTCCTTTGCTAAAGAAACCCTGAGTCTTAAGCCTCTTAAAAGTCCCCATACTCCAGACAATTTTGACCTTAAGACCTCTTAAGGTTAAATATACTTTCTGAATGACTTTTTCCGTTTTTAAAAGTTTTTTTTATTCTTTTTTTTATTTTAAAAGTAAACATCTTAGAATTTTGTTACGAGAAGCTACTCTTTGCATTAAGATTCTTTATGAATACGGGCCCAGCGTTTTAACATCTGTTAAGATGCAGTCACATTTAAGTGAAATTTTGCTGGTGAAACTCATTAGAAGCTTTGCACAAATGCAAGGTGTCCCTTGCCCAAAAAAAAGGTCCCTTATGCAGATTTCCCTCATATTCAAGTTGGTCACTGAATTTGTTGTGCTGACCAACAGAAAGCTGCTTGGTTTTAATGTTCTAATATGACTGTACCTTTACTCATCACAGGCATCAGAATGTTTTCAGAGTAATGGAAGTAATTGGAAAGGTGTGGGGAAACAGCTCTTGCCTGGTATGGAGGTTTGAAAACACCAGTGCTTGGTTAAATGGGATTTTGCTGAAAAGTTCGAGAAGACTTTGAACCTTCTCCTCAAAGATTTTATGAGGCAATGGATGAGATGGAACAATCATATAGTACTGTTTTAGTCCTGGAGGAGAGAGTACAACACAAGAATTATGTTGTTATCATGCACAAACTGATTCAATCAACAATTAAAAGGATATTTAAACAATAGAAGCGAATCAGAAAGCACTGCAGACTGACCAAGGAGTCCAGGGTCTGTTTGGTTCAGTCGCACAAACGTTGGCTCTCTCATGTATCTCGACAGGTGTTGTGCTAAAGATTCTGGGTAGGTGGCAGAAAGGGCCAACATTTGTTTATTTGCTGGTAGAGAGGAGAATATCCAGCTAACACAGAAAAAAAGAGATCAGTTAACTCCAACCAGTTGAATTACAACACAGAACAGTCTCTGAATCAAATGCACCTATTCAACTCTTACTTGATCTGCTCCTGAAAGCTGCTGCTGATTTCATCCTCCAGTAGTTTATCAGCCTCATCCAAAACAAACAAGCGAACAGAGGACGTATTGAGGGCTTCCATCTCAATCAGCTGCTTAATACGACCTACAAATACAACACCACTTCATCAATACTGCCTAAAAACATCAAAACCAAACACACACACACTATTAGAGAAAGCTTTACTTATAAGGTTAAATAGTATTCCAGACAATAACCCAAGATGAGAAATCTCACACTTAGTTTAACAATTAATTATTCACAGACATCTTTTAACAGCATCCAACTTCACAAGTGTTTGATTAGCACTTTTAAGTGGAAGAGTATTTGTATTATATGTACTTTTTTATGCTTAAAGTAGCAATGAAATGGAAGTAGTGATAGCTATTTTCTTCCATATTGTGATGTACATCCAAATGAACGGGGAATATCAAAAACAAGAAAGGAAAAAAAAAATCTGAACAGATTTTAAAACACTCAACATCAAATGTTTGCCGACTTTGTGAATGGTTCTAAAGAAAAACTGGGTATCATACACTAAACGACTAAGGATCACACACTAGCAGACTTTCAAATCATTCTGAACTCAACAAATTCACACACTACAAGACGCATGCCAGATGAAACAAACTGAGGCTAATTTTTGTTACCTGTGCGTTGTTAATTTACTTTCGTATCTTTATATTTGTATTTTATTGCAACACTAGTAGATAAGAGACATCTTTGGGTTCAATAGCGGCACATCATACTCAAAATATCAAACACGTTTTGATGTATCCCGACTGGAATTGAATCATAGTCTGACTTTCGGCAACTGTTGTTGACTTATCCAGACTGCAAATCGAGGCAAAAATCGGAGCAAAACTAGTGAAGTTATTCCAGTCTTAACATATCTGTCAAGATAAATTATTTGACTTGCTCAAACCTGGTGAACCAATGGCAATGTGGCATTTCTTCAGGTGCACTTTATCTTGACTGACAGGTCGGCCGCCAATGAAAACATGGCACTGTAAGCCCTCCATAGCGCTGCCAATTGCCATGACAACAGCATGAATCTGCACTGCAATCTCCCGAGTGGGGGCCAGAACCAGCACCTGATGGGACAAGAGAAGGGTGCATTATCACAAAACAGGCACACACTTGTGTTTCAGGTGCTTATATTTAACGTTAAGAGAAGACATAAAAAGAAAACAATCTTTATGATATATTTGTACTATCTTTAACTGGCTATTTATATATATATATATATATATATATATATATATATATATACACACACACACACACACTATAGGAAGAACATTAACTCGTAAATTAATACATTTTGTTACATATCAGAAATTGTGTTCAGATTAATACCTGTGTGGTTGTGTTTTCCAGTATAAGAGAGTCCAAAGCGATGGTGGTGAACACACAAGTTTTTCCTGTGCCAGATTTGGCTTGAACAATAAGGTCTGAATAGAAAAAAAACATAAATAAACATTATTTCCTTCAAATGGTGCATGAAATGACAGGCATATATTTTCACTGATAAACTACACTCAGTCATATACTACATATTACATCAAAGAGCAGCTTTATTATTAATGTTATTAATGACAAAAAAATAGGTTTAGGCCTGTTTTGGTATTGTTTCGAGTTTTATCAGCCCTCGTACCGAGTCCACATCTTCCCAGCGGGATTGCCTTTAGCTGAATGGGGGACGGTCTTTGAAAGCCAGAAGCAGATAAACCCTCGAGCACAGGTTTTGAGAGGAGTAAAGAATTGAAATCGACACCGTCGTTACTTAGAACATCATCTGTCCGAGTTCTGGATTGAAGCTCATGCGCTGCTTTCATGGATGCCGCCATATTTACATTGCAACTACGTTCTTTTCTTCGGTGCTGAATAAATGAGTTGAGCAGAGAATAACTGCGCCTCCTTGCGCACATAAACAGAACAGCAGCTTGAAATACCGCCAACATGCTGCAGAGGGCGACAAACACACTTGTTTGACATAAACAAATAAAATAAAATCCTGTATGGAGACAGAATTTAATCTAAATTTATAGTAAATTTGAAAAAAAAAAATAATAATAATAATTTTAAGTAAACTTTGAAAAAAAATATCACATTGAATAAATGTTTGTTTGACTTTATTGTCTGTTCAGATTTACTGGACAGAAATTCAACTTTAACACTGGAATAAAAAACAGATACATCAGACAACACTGTACAACCACATTGAGAGGACAGCCTATATACTTTCCTATTTTGAGTCCCACAGAATAATTAACTTTGTCATCTCAATCTCAATGTTGAATTGAGAAGACTTTTAATATACTCAAAATAGGTTGAACAATTTATGGCTGTTTGGCAAGAAATTAAAACCGAGTCATCAGTGTATTTGATTAAAGTGAGATCATCCTTGTTAGACTGAGTCTGTTTGTATTTAACAGGGGAAAAAAAGCAAAGGGGATCATTCACATCTCTCAGGCTCTGAATAGTTAGTCTAGGGCTTCTACATGCTGCCTACCAGGGTTCCTACAGGTTTCTTCAAGTTAAATTCAAGTCTTTTTAAGACCATTTATATAAAAAAAATAATACCTATTTCACGTCCCTATACCAGCAAAGAAAAACAAAATCCTTGAACTTGTGTTCATTTATTTTTCAAATGTGGAATGAGAAAAGATGATACGCAGGTGAGAAAAATAAAAACACACTATGCCACTATTCCAAAGTTAAGCCAAACAATGTTAAGTTGTTTTTAACAATAGCTAGCTAGCTACCTATTCCATGCTGGGAATATGGGGAACTGAGAGACCCCTGAACAATAAACATCGAAAATCATAATAATGGTTGACAAATGAAACTTAGTAACAGCACAAACCATTTTTAAGACCATCTTAATAATTCCATCTTTTTAAGGTATTATATCCAAATTTATAAATTCATTGCTTTTAAGGCTTTTCAAGACCCCGTGGGAACCTTGGCTGCAAATATATGATAGATAGAAGCAAGTTTACAAAGTGGATAAGGCCCAACCCCCCTTTTTCATCTAATCTATCAGAGTGAATCTTAAGACAGAGTTAAAGCTGTAGTATTGTTGCTCTATTGTTATGCATGAACCCTCCATTCATCATGAACTGACCGCTGGTGTGAAAGCACGACCTGTTTTGTTGACGGACAACCGTTAGTTAATCCTATTCAGGAACTTTCCCTTTCAAATCACCACACACATACTTCAGTATACCTTGACTTCGCCTGTGCGCGCAGAGGCTGTACTGTAATGTCATCTGAATATGTAATCAGAGTGTGTCAGAGACGTTAGAGAGGAGGAGGAATATTATACATAGATTTAATAACAGCGCTGTTCATGACTGACCAAAACCAACGCGGAAAAACCCAAAGATAATTTTAAGGGTCTTTCAGCGGGTAGCGACATGAAATAGATGGAGTTATAATTAATCAACCTGCGTTTAGTTTTTACATTATTTTAATTTAGTTAACGTTAACTCATGAGTGAAAAGAGAGCGGAACTCGGCGACATGGACAGTAACCGTCGGCGTTTAAAACATGAAGTGGTAAGATTTGCTTAATCTTTTTCTCTCTTTCTTCATCTACTTTTACTTACAGCACGTGTGTTTTTTTACTACACGCATCTTCTCAGATGGGCAGATAATATTTGTTATGAGCCATATGTTTATATATATATATATATATATATATATATATATATATATAATGCGCGTTTCTCAGACGCAGTTCTTTTCCCCTGTGCGTTGATATTTATCCAATCCATCCAACCGTGCTTGCTTCAGAGAAACACAAAAAGTGCAACCAACCACCTGATTGGATGCGGTTATTTGAAAATGAGGCTGCTGATTGGCTGGTACTTGCCCTTCCTACCGAGTACGTTCTGTGATTAGTCCCCCCAGTAGGCCTACAGATAGCAAGTTTTTTTTAAATAAAGGAAACAATAAATAGATAGAATAAAAATACAATAGTAAGTGTTAGTAGCCAGCTAATGGGTCAAGTGTTAAAACAAAAGCGTCTATTAACCATTTATAGCAGGTTGAGTTAGTCATATGAGGTGTAGACCATTTTGTGACACTGCTTAGTTAACTAATCAGCCAATTGTGTCTATGTTATAATACTTTATTATATTACTCTTATTATTATTATCAGTAATTATTTCGTTATTTTATCTTCATTTACAAGTAAAAACATCACAATTACTGAGCAATGTTGCAAACCATCCTTTTGCGCCACTTGGTATCACGACTACACGCGCCAGTTGTGCATTTTGGTTAACTATAGCTATTGCGCTTGTTATTTTTTCTCAAGTGACAACTTATTTCAGTCTCCACATGTATGTTATCCAGACGCATTGTAACAAAAAATCACTTTCTCAGCTCCCACCACGTTGCCACACACTTTGAGATCAGCTCCGACACGTCACTGTGACATGTAACATCTAATATCTAATGTCTAATAATGCCTGTATAGGACTGTATTTGATGGCTGGCAAGCATTTGATGGCAAGCCTACACATCAGTTCTCCTCTCAGTTAGCTAAGATATCCAATTATTTGTCAGCTCTCACACGTGTGACATGCCTTCTCTTCTCAAATTTTAGTTGATTTATTTTCATTATTTATTCATTCATTTATTTGTTTATGTTAATTTAGATAACCTTTATGTGTATATGATAACGACTGAAAATAAAGAGAAAAAATAATTAGAGAAAATAGGTGCTTTCTAGAAAAGTAAATAGGGCTACAAGGATGCTACTCATAACCATCACTCATTTGTTGGTGTCTGATTAATGCTGCTATCTGTCTGGGCACATCCCAAAGGAAACTGACACATCAGAGGCAGTGACTTCACACATTGAGAAAAAGGACCCTACGGCTAAATCTGGTGAAACACAGAACATGCCATAACTAGCAAACAGGGCTTATCATCGTAAAAGTGATTATGACTAAATAACCTCTGTAAAATTTAACAACTATATTTATAATATAAAAGTGACATTTATAATGACCTTAATTGCTATACTGCTCACATAACCAACTGTCTATATAGGCTATATAATATTTGAACATCTAAATTAGGTATAGATTGGAATGTTTCAGGTCAATTACAAGTTAAGCTCTGTTTCACCACACCTGCATTTATGACCAACTCAGTAAAATAGGCTACATGCCTCAGGTGTTCATGATTCACAGTCTGGTCATTTCACCCACATGCCTGTTAGCTCCTACATCTCCCATCATGCATTGGGATGCAATCTTGCTGTAGAATAGCATCAGTAGTGCTGCTGTGCTCAGACTGACTGGTGATCGATCACTTGTAGGGCAGAGAAGGAACAGAAAACGGAGTGAGACGAGAGAAGGAAAGGCTGCGAAGGTAAGATTACAGGTTTTATTTGGTGATAGAAGAAAAGGGGTGTTTTAGGGCATTTTAATGGAATTTGTTTAAATATATTATAATAATTTAAGTCATTAAATGTGTCTACAATTAAACAAAGACTGAAATGCATACAGTATGGAAAATCAAAATTATAAAAAATAAATTAAAACAATTTTAGCCAATTTTTCAGTCTCCATTTTTAGATTAACGATCTTTAAAGAAATACATTATACCTTTCCGTCAAGATCTGTAAATATTTGTTATTCACATTTGTCCCCCCAAAAATAAACACAATAAAAATGCAATAATAAAAATAAAAAAGAATTACTATTATTTTATCCAAACATTTTTATCCTTAATTTCCATCAGGCATTTATGCATGCATCTCTTGTATATATAAGTGTTTCACTAGATACATGCAGTAGTATATGATACATGTTGGGGTTGGTCATTTGTAATGTTTTTTAAATAAGTCTGCTCACTAAGGCTGCATTTATTTGATCAAAAATACAGTAAAACATTAACGTTGTACATTTAATACAATTTAAAATAACTTTTCTATTTTAATAAACAAAAAATCCTGCTAATTTTTAAACAAATTTTCTATTTTTATCTTTGTTGAAAACACTGGTGGTGCTTAATATTTTTGTGGAAACTGATACTTTTTGATGAATAGAAAGCTCAGAGGAACAGCATTTATTGTAAATAGATTTTCATACTAACAATGTAAGTCTTTAATATCACTTTTGATCAATTTAATTCATCCTTGCTGGGAAAAAAACTGACCACAAACTTTAGAACTGTAGTGTATCAAAGCAGCTTTTACAGAAATTGTGTTTTATTAACAAGGTTCGGGAGGAGCAGTTGCAAATAATTCCTCTATGTGCCCAGTAAGTAATTTGAGTGCTATTGTGGCAAGGGAAAAAAAAACAAAAAACATTGGTATTCTCTTCATCGTAGATGCTGAGCCAGGTATCAGTGATGGCACTCTCGGCAGAAATTGCTGACAGTTTGGTTTAATATTGATTTTTGATAATTACTGTGAAGTCAGTGTTATTCATGAGTCACAACAGATTCAATTCATTGTTGCTTCATTATGTCGTAGTAATTGCTCTCTTGGTTTCTTCCCTTTCCCATTATAGGATTCATTGCGGCAGCAATCAGATGAGGGTCTCCACGCTCAGATGAATTCTGTGATCGGTGCTCTCCAGGAGCTGAAACTCTTGCAGGTCCAAACTGCGCTGGAGATAAATCAGATAAATCACAGTTCAAGAAAAACCCACCTGGACCGAACACTGAATCCAGAAGAAATTCTTTCACAAGAATGTTTCAAGACTGAGCTTGCCATGGAAACATCTTTGTTCCTCACTAGCTCTCCAGCAGAAACCCGCCAAATTCCAAGGTTATACGGACCCAGAAAGGTTCACAGAGGAAGTCTAAGCACTTCTTCCTCTTTTTCCTCTCAGGAAGACACAACCGACAGCCATTTCTCTGCTTACGATTTTGACGACTCCAGCGATTGGACAGCCTCACTGATGAACCACAGCAGAAACAGACAGCCATTGGTGTTGGGAGACAATGTTTTCGCTGACTTGGTCGGGAATTGGCTGGATCTGCCGGATGTTGGAGGCCAGACTTTAGGTGAGGAGCAGAACTCAGGTCTCAAAGACACATTTTTGGAGTCATCATCTAGCAGTCACTCTCAAGATCTCCCCAGGAAAACCTCACTAACCGCTAGCATGTTTAAACGGGTCCTACGGCGCGTTCGACCATGGCACCACCATGAAAGCGAAGGGGTGGACGTCTGTATACAACCAAAGATCACATACAGAAAGCCAAAATCAGATGTCGGCAAGCCATTCTGGGGGAGAACAAGAGGCCTGAAGAAGAAAACCACACCCACTCAGCATGAGGGTGTGGCCTATCAGGGCTCAGAGATTTTAAGAGACAGAGGATGGGCGGAGATTGAGAAGCATCCAGTGTATGATTACAGCTCAGCTATGTGGGTTTAAATGACTCATATAATTCTGGATGGAAGAGAATTACACACTTAAACACACAGTCACAAAAAAAAGACTTTATGATCATAATTGTTGTAAAAGCAAAAGTTCTCAAAATGTTCTACCTGTTGCGTTCAAGTTGTTACTCCGATTAGGGTGTTATTATGACGTCACGCATGCAAGTCGGAAACATTTGCAAGTTTAAACAAATCAAAAACATTTTACTGTTAACAAAAAACCCAAATAGGGACATCTGACTTCAAAATTCATTGACACTTATTTATTCATTGTATCACAACTAAATGTGAAGCACATTGTTAAAGTTGAGTGATAAACACCATTGCTACAGATTTGATTTTTAGTTTTAAATTTAAATTTAAATCAGATTTAAATTTTCTCATTTGTAAATATGACTCTGGTCACTCAGTCATTAATGTGCTTGGAAGTCAGAACTCATAATTATGATATTCTTTTCTGACTCAACTTGAAGGGCTCATGAGTTTCTGAGCAATTAAATAAAAAAGGTGTTGAGGTAAGATAGTTCTTCTCCCTCAAGTGAGAGGAGTAGCACTCAATAATTGTTTCCAAAGATATGTAGGTAAACAGTCATGGGATGTGTGTATGTGTCTGAGACATGAGTATGGCAGAGCAAAGAAAACAGAAAAATATTATGTCATAAGCTACTGTTTCTGTGAGGTCCCGTGAGAGTCTGTTTCTGCTGATGCTTGTTTCCTTATGTTTAGGTTTAGGAGGATGCCTGTCTAACTGTCAGTCACTATGAAAAAGTCCTGATTGGTGCATTTTTTGGTCAAGTGGCTTATGTAAAAAAGCTTTGCAAGCTGTTTTGTGTTGGACAGAAAAACTATGCAATGATGCTAAATTGCTATGCAAAAAATGCAAATGTCTGTTTTATCTGCACCTTCATGCTCTCTTCTCTGTATAAAACATTTAAGCCTTTAGATCCTGCAATAATATACCTGTACTTGAAACTATTTTTTTACATGAAGTGATGTGGGAAGCTGTTAAATAAATAAATAAATAATAAAGTTTCTATATGAGTAAATTTCATGAAGTCTTAGATCAGGAACATCTGCATCTTCACTTATTTCTTCACATAAACATATGTTCTGTTTTTAATACATACCTGATCGCGTTGTTCCGTAAAAGACTCTTAGAAAAGCTTATTAAACTCCAACACCTTAAATGAGCCTAACAAATAAGTTTGGGCTAAAGTGGTTCCATAAAAGGTAATTTTGAAGTTCACACAATTCCACTAATTTGATCCGTTTATCTAGATAATTTAGTGTGCAAGTCGTGCAAATATTTCCATTTTGCTGCTAATCTTCATTTTGTACGGGCGCTCTATATGAAGAGTTCAGATGCAAAAGCCTCTAAATGCCATTTGAAATTTTCTTCTTTAATTGTGATTTTTATCAAACTTGTATATTTAAGTTCAGTAATTTCACTTCAATGGCAGCAATAATAATTACCTGAATTAAATAATTTGGAAATAATGAACTTAAATAACAAGTTTGATAAAAATTCAAGAAGTATTTCAAATGGCATTTAGAGGCTTTTGCATCTGAACTCTTCATATATATATACTGTATATATATATATATATATTATTTGTAATTTGGACATTAGATAAGCCTTATTTAGAATTAGAATAAACCTACAAGTGTATTTTTATGATAACAATAACTATAAAGGGACTATTGTAATGGGGTAAATCAGATGTGGCTTATATACTGTAAGTCAATTACCAAGCTCAGATTCATCTTACCAGTTACAATTTATACAGTGCTTTTAATTATTTATTCTTTAATTGTGTGATTTTAACTTCAGCTTAAAAAAGCTTTTTATTAGATTGTTATTATATATTAGAATCTATCTTTGTACCCTTATTTAAGCTGATTTTCTACACTGTGTTTATTTTTTGACTAATAGTGGTTAACATGATTCCAGTATTGGTATGAGAGAGTGTCAGTAGTAATATCATTGTGTTCCTATAGGTCAATGTTAAAGGATCTGTGTAACAGCTGAGGCTTAGCCTGACAGTTAGCCTGCCCTGGACCAGGTTCGTTTCCCAGCATAAGTTGCTAACTGAGTTTGAACTATTTTAAGTTTGCTTTATGAAACAGAATCCACCGACAATAAGTCTGACTAACCAAAATAAGCCTGGCTTGTATTCTAATCTTGTTTTTAGTCTGGGACTAGGCTTAAGCCTTGTCTGTGAAACCGGTAGTATATCTGTTGAGCAGCGAGTATAAATTCATTTATTGCATTCTCTAATTGTATGGTTGTTTTATTAAAGTGTAAGGTAAGTTATTTGCATGGCTTGGCGCTGTATTTTTATCTACAGTACATAAAGTGAGCCGCACTGAAAAGTAAATCTGCAATGGTGAGGAATGGCAATCTATAAATGCACATAAAACACCACATCAATATGAAATACATTTATTTAAATCAATGTCAAAAAAAGAAATCAAAGCACACATTACTTTAAAAACAAATCAAAAGCCAGCCAGACACTGCTTGAAATGTTCAACTAAACCAGGGAGTAGAACAAAGAAAAAAAATGAAATATTTGACACATCAAGACTGATCTAACTTGGCAAATGAAGTGTCAAGGACTGACTATGAATTATTGGTTTAGCGGTTATCGGAGGAGAAGTCATCTCTGCATTATAGTCTAGATCTGATTTCATTCTTCTCCTGCTCAGGCACAAAACGGTTGATATTTATCCCAGGCTGAGCTACAGCCTACCGCAAAATACCACCAAGAAAACAAAGGGAAGAAAACATACTAAAAAAAAATTATCTTTAAAAGCTGGAAAATTATTGTAATTTTGATTGTGAGAAAAATGCAGTGGCTACAGTATATCTTCATCTTCAAGATAGACAGAGCCACACTTCAAATGACCACCCTCAAGAAAAAAAGGACATTTTTAATTTTCCACAATGTTTTTTAGATGAAAAGAAATGAGTCAACGTCACTCAGGAATTTTTTTTTTTTTTTTTTTTTTTTTTGATGAATGAAGGACACAGCGTCTTCCCTGTACAAATGATTATTGATAATCCAAACATGATGAAGAAAACAAAACATTTCTGATCATTTTATAAACATAAACATGTTTTGAAATGTCTCCTTTCCTTATGTAGGCATTAAGAAAGTCCTGAAACCTCTCCCAGACAATCTAACCCCCCTTTACCACATCACAGACAGAGCTTTTGCTCCAGACACAGATCCTCATCGAGGAATCTTCTTCAGAAAACAAAAACAAACAAAAAAACAGTAAGTAAAGAGCAGGGGGGGAGGGAACATTTTAAAGACTGTTCTGGAAGAAAACGCAGAGGTTGCATCTCTCTTTTTCTGTCAAGTCTGTGTTTTAGTTGAGGAGTCTGTGGTGTTCTGCCTTATTGATTGTTTGGCCAATAACTGTAGAGAGGAACTGGAATGTTGGCCAGCTGGGCAACAGTTCTCTTTATTTCGGCAATCTGAAAAAAAAAGAGAAGAAAAAAAATTATGACATCCGTCTCAACTAACCCTTTCAGCGAGCTGCTAAACCAAAAAGTAAGTTCAGCATAAGAATAGATACAAGTCTTGCCCCAAATGCAGAAATGCAGAAACTTGAGCGAACTTTTTAAATGGTGCAACAAACACCATTAAGCCCAAAGTATACTTCGGCCGTCCAAATGTAATTTTTTTCATCAGGAGGGTCATAGAAACTATGGACGTCCACACACAACATCCACGTGCTCGCCAATTTTTGTGACCGTGCGAACAGTGCATGTACAACAGCGTATGTTACTGACTTTAGTGCTTGAAAACAAAATCCACTAGTGCGCATATGCCAAACACGTCTTTCTGCGCTCAAAGAGAGGAAAGCGAACAATAAGGCATACCTGGGCCTTTAAGATGAATGGGAAAGCTAATGATAGTTGTCGGCAAATATCTCCACCAATATATATTTTCAAATTTTGGCTAATACTGTATGTTATTTTCATATTTTAACTGATAAGAGAGCAATGCTCAAATTCTATACTATTTTATTTAAATTAGATTGAAATAAAGCACTGAAAAACAATCAGATTAAAGGCTACAATTGAATTTAGGCATTACACGTTTTAATGTACAATATGAAAAATGGATGCTTGAGATTTGCTAAAGATTACATTTAACTGTGTTAAATTATTACTCTTTGAGCATTAAATGACGGCAAATGTAATCTGAATGTAAAAACAGGATAAATGAGTGTGTACAATTAAATATTCAATTTCAACAGATACAGATAAATAATTTAAAAACTTTTCGCTATATCATGAATGTAGAGTACTTAATGGTGCATGTACAAATTCCTAATGATTTTCTGATTAACTACCTGGCTCAGAGCTGCTGCAGTGATGCAGTTGTGTTACAGCAGGATGCAGTTTGACTTCTTTTTCGCTCTCTTCTTCTCCACCGGCGTCTTTCTGTTTATCTGTCTTACCAGGTCATAAAAGATCTGATATACACACAAAAAAGACTTCCATTAGAGAACTGGCTTTGTATCCTTGGTACAGAAGTGTTTTTTATTTTGCTCTGGATAAAGTGCGGTGAACTGTGTTTTACCTCGTTGACGTTGATCTTTGATTTGGCAGAAGATTCTAGAAAGGCACAATTACTCCATTGACGAGCAAGATTCTGACCCTGCTCTTTCCCGACCACCCTCTCATCCTCTAAATCACACTTGTTTCCAACCAAGGTCATTGGAACCTAAACACAAATAGAGAGAGACATCCGATGAGTGTGCATACTGCGTTTGAATTTGGTTTAGCAGAAATCACACTCATTGACAGTTCAAAGAATTGTAATTGATTTTGAAAAAAGCATGGAGAGAAATCTGTGTCTTATACAGAATAAAGGCACAAAATATGCCCTATGTACAGCAGTACTCATGCTACATGAATTTGTATATACACAACTGTTCAAATGTTTTGTTTTAAGAAATTAATACTTTTTATCCGCAATAGCACATTAAATTTAAATGTTCTCAAAAATGTTCTTTTGAACTTTCTATTCATCCAAGAATCCTAAAAATTGTTTCACAGTTCCACAAAACCGAAGACTGGTGCAATGATCCTGAAAATACAGCTTTGGCATCTCAAGAATAAATTGCAATTTAAAATATATAAAAATAGAAAATCACTATTTTAAATTGTAATATTTCACAAAATTAAATTTTTAAAGTAAATGAAGCCTTGGTGAGCACAAGAGATTTCTTTCAAAAAATATCTTCTTTTTTTTCTTTTTAAATCTTCCTAACTTTAAATTTTTCAACGGTAGTGTATATGCATGCTTAATTTGTTAATGTAATTTGCATAAAGAACTGGAATTGTACAAGCTTTAATACAGAATGTGGGTGCAGTGGTAGCATAGTGTGCCACGGGGTGATGGCAGCTTCTGCAAATTAAATGCAGGTCTCTAAGCTCTTGTGGTCTCGGTAAAAATCGAAATAGTTTTGTGCCTTCTTTGTTTTGCCTTTGCTTGTTAATACTTGCAATGGCTGACATTAGCTGGGCTGGCAGGTTCATGATTTCTTTTCTTTTTACAAAATACACAAAATAATGTTGACATTAAAAATCACAATGATTTGCCAAAGCATGCACCACAAATAATAATAATAATTTATTATAACGTGACTCACATCCTCTGTGTCCTTCACCCTCAAAATCTGTTCCCGTAGGTCCTGCAGGTCATTGAAAGTGGACTGTGCTGTGATGGAGTAAACCAGAGCAAAACCCTGACCATTCTTCATGTACAAGTCCCTCATCGCTGTGAACTGCTCCTGTAGGCAAATGATCAATAATCTATTGAGTTCACATGGAAGACTGAGGCTACATTCACACCATCAGTCCAAATCCAATTATTGTGTATCCAATTGGAATCTGATCTAAAATTATTAACTGTGCACACTGTATATCGCAATTGTTCGGATCCGATTTGTGTCAATGGTGCTTTTCCATTTTCCGGAATATCTGCATTGGCAATGATGTTGCGTTGGTAGGTATACGCCAACAACAACCGCAACATGGAGGGATTTGCAATACAGATGTTGTCCTATTTATAACATGAATATGTGTAACCGCAGTGCTGGAATACTGCGTCTTCTGAGGCAGCGGTAGAAACGTAGGATGCTGGAATGAGCGACTTTATTCCACGCTGTCATCTCTGCCGTTTTCAAAACAAGTTATCTTGTCATATTCTACTCATGCGGCACTTTGCAACAACACAACCTAGTCTGCAGCGACTTTCAGCATGTTTCCTATATCATTGTCTGACGTTTACATTTTACGTGGCGTGAGAGTCACATAAACCACATGAAATCCGATCAGAGCAGTCAGAATGAAAAAAAGATTTCCAGAAATGTGATTTTAATAGGTTTCAAACCACATAAGGATGTAGCTTGAAATGTAAAAAATAGCTTTTCGTGTGATTTTTTGCCATTCACACTTGCTAAATCTAATCGGATTTCAATTGGATATGCACAAAAATTTGATTTGGATTGACAGTCTGAACATAGCCAAATTAACTAATTGGCCAGAAGAGCATTATATTGAACTCACTGTGCCAGCAGTATCCAGGATCTCTAGCATACATTGCTGCCCATCAACCTCAACTTGCTAAAAAAAAGAAGAAAATAAAAAGAGGGAGTCAAGTACGGTGTTAATGTATATTCCTAAATAGAGTGTTAATTCAGCTATGCCACTTCAGCCATCCCAAAAAGGTTTACTTACCTTTCTATACGAGTCTTCTATTGTGGGGTCATATTTTTCAACAAATATTCCCTGAACAAACTGGACTGTCTGTGTGAGAAAAGACCAGAATCTAATTCAATCCAAATAAACATTATTGACTAAATGGGACTAAAACCCACAACAAATACAGTTATAAACACACACACACACACACACATATATATATATATATATATACACAACAATGATGTGAATCCTGAACTTACCAATGCAGACTTCCCAACGCCTCCAGAGCCCAGAACGACAAGCTTATATTCACGCATGCTGAGGCCTGTAAGATTAAATCACAGCACACACACACCTTCAAATCACATATCAGTGCAATGACAGATGAAGCACTCAAAATGCTTTTGGTTTTGTGATATATTTGCACCACTTTTTCATAATCTGATTACCGCCAAACCATCGTCATCCCCTTCTCCTTTTTTTGTCTAGATAGTTGTAAATTATACCGTACACGTTTTATATACACACGCAAACATAAATAAATAAAAAAATAATGTGCCCAGTCATTGCCCTCAAAAATTAATCAAAAACATTACATTTCCTTTGTCTTGACAACAATCCAACAATAATCTTGTTTTGCAGATATACGTCACAACAATAAGGAACAATATCATGATCTCAACTTCCATTTTATGCCAACTTTAATTAGCATGCATTAGTTATGCAGTTTGTATTGTAAAACACTCAGATATATTGCAATTTTAAAGCACCATCACAACAGTCGTGCACATTCCCAGCAAATGTTTTAAAGGGCTATTTGAGATCATTTAGATTTCACTTTAAATTCCACTATAACCACGGATGCATCCAACTGACAAACAAACAGCTTATCTACTAAAAGCAGATTCAACTGATGCTATGCTAATGCACCATTTCATTCAGCCTGAAGCAATTAAATCTACAAAAAGAAGCTAAACGCAGAACGTCATTGGAACAAACAGGTCTCATCGAAAAACCTGTCTCTAGTCTTTGTCATCACTGCTATCCCACCATCCTAAAATCCCATATTGTTCTGTAAATAAGCAAATCAGTTACTGCCAGGTGATAAATGACCATGGAGGTTTGCATGTGTATTGTCAGATGAGACAGTACACTTGAAGAGAAAGCAATATTTTCAGTGGTTGTGGATAACTTCTAGGCAAATCTAAATAAAGAAAAGCCCTGTGTGAATTAAAAAATATTGTTAGCAATAAAAAGGCATAAAAAGGATATGAGGGTGCTTGTTCTTCAGACCAGAAATTAATAATAGTCTACTAGTTTTACCAGACTAAGTTCCTACACCTTTAAAAATAGATTAATCCAAATAAATATACAGATAGAACTGAAACTGGTGTAAATATGGAATAATCTATGCCCAACGTCTCCACTCGACAATTGAATAAAATTATAGTGTCACTAGGACTGTTTTGTGATCATCTTAACGTGTCACAGAATGCTTCTTGTAGAACTATAAGACTGCATGAAACATTTCCGTTACACTAACAGCTGTAATGTCATTTTGGTCACTTGTCGAAGGAAGACTGCATGCCAGTGTGTGTAGCCTACACGGAGTTCATATGTGTGCATCAAAACGCAATAAACTCACACAGTTTAACTACTTAACAAGCACATAGTAGTAACATATAAGCCGTAGAGATCAACTATTTAACCGTTAACAGGCGGTCAGATGTGTGTGTGTGTGACTATGTTATGTGTGTTTTCGTCTGCTCGCAGGAAAGACCGCGGCCTGTTAACGCAGCGCTGTTTCCTATTAATTCTACAGGGCAACGGCACTGCTGTGCGGGTTGATTCTGTTCAGTTACCCGGCCTGAGGCTCATTAGCTCATGCTAGCACGTTAGCATAGTCGTTACGCGAGGTTTCGTTCAGCGATTTTCCGCCAAAACCCGGCACTCGCTGTACAGTACTAGTAAGTAACTGTCCGTGCCGTGTCCAGTGTTTCGGGTTCGTTAACAGTTCACTCACCGTGTCCCACAGCTCGAGTAGCATGCAGGATAACACTGTCGCGCAATCACAGACAGACTCCCGTCACGCCCGCGGATGCCAACGTCACTGCAGCGCGCGGAAATTCTGCTGACCTGACACAGCCACGAGCGGGTTAAAGTCAGAGATAGCGTTAATGAAAGGTACTTAATCTGATACAAATTGCTGTGTGAGTGAGTGCAATCTCTATAAAGTCATCTGTAAAAATCCTAGTTTATACATTTTGAACAACTGCATAGTTTGGTCAAAAGGTTTGAGAAGGTTTAGAAACCTTGAGCTATGAGATACAATTTTACTGAGCATGCGCGTGAGGGGAATTAGACAATATTAAGAGTCTTTCCTATTAGCCCCATAGCAGAAGAACCTGGACTGTTTACAAGTCATCAAAATTCCCACTTGCTTATCCTGGTCTGGAATCACCAAACTGACTTAACATGCACTACAAATGCTCTGCAAACGGTGTGAGAACCTGTGGTCTGAACTAGTACAGCGACTGATGTGTCACCCAGGAAATGGTTCATAAGGCCTGGTCATCATTCTTACAAATGGCAAAAGTTAAACTGCAGACAATATACGTTTTATTGTTTTTACTAAAATGATAACAGAAATTATGTTATACAGATAAAAAGCGAGATGTGATGCTGCTGCTCGGGCATTAACATTTCAGAATGACCCCGTTCTTGAGTCATAGTAATGGAGAGTTGTATATAATGATAATGAGGAACTGTCTCCTTTAGGTTGATCATCCAAAATATACACCACTATTGTTCCTTCACAGAGGTAACCAACATTGTCCACAGTCTGGCAGAGAGAAAAAGAGAACAACAGGAGTCCATATACAGTAAAGATTTGTATATTCAAAACTTTAAAGACTTTTAAAGCAAACTCAAATGTAGTGCAATTCTGATCATTTTTAATTTCTTATTTCCTTAAAATAAGATAAATCAATAAGATCAAATTGTTTTTGCGCAAAATGAGAGGTTTCAATACCTGGTTAATCATGGTTTCAAAGCATCATTGACATGTGAATAACACAAATAATGTTAGATTTCATTATTGACTTTATTGATAAGAAAAATAAAGACCAGAGGGAAATAAGATTCATCACAGAGGAAGCATTATAAACATGGCTGCTTGAGGTTAAATTTTTTTTTATAAAGTATTGTATTACTATCAGCTTTCTATTATTATTACATTGATGAAGTTGAAGTCTTGCTTGTGATTGTACATCTGAACTTTGCATCTGATCCTTTCCTGTAGATAAACACTAAAGCCACAAGAATCCTGAAAATGAGGAATGACAAAACCCCTGCACAAACTGCATTCACATTTACAGGAATAATAAGAAAAAGATTATACATTGTTTCACAATGCTGTAATATGTGTGCCCTGACCAGTAAGCTAGTGTAAGGAAAAATTAATAAATTACCAAATAACGATAAATTGCATTGATTAAAGGAGTGGAAGCTGATGATGGGACTGTAACAGTTCATATGATTGAGAATTTTCTGTGAGAGACAAAATATCAGTATTGCTTGTATATAGAGTAAACCTTTTTTTATAGGCAACCACAGGTGAATAGGGTAAACACAATTTAAGTAATATATCACCATACTTCATCAGTTGATTGATTACATTGAGAATTGCAAACATTTTTTTTTGTATTACAAGTTTTCTGATGTTATGTTTAAATCAGACGAATTACATATGAACAAACCCCTCTGTTAAAACCTTATTGTAATAAGGTTATATATTTGGAATATTGGAATTTAACTGTAAAGTTTAGTGTATGTCAGTGCTGTGCTACTAAAGTGGAGATTTCTAAGAATAAAACTAATTTTGAGAAAATGGCATTTAAAGATACTTTGATTAAAATCTATAAGCAAAAAGATGAAGTGCTCTAAAAGAAACACTTAAAGGTTAAATTATCTATGACTCTTTCCACTAGTCTAAAAAAACACTTTATGACAAGCGGGGGAAAAAAATGATGTGTGAAAACAGGTTTTTGTCTGTATGTGTCTAACCTTAAGAACAAACTACTCTTTTTAAAACTCAAATTTTATCAAATAGTACAGAAAAAATCTTTTTTTTGTTGACTGGATGAACCTTTATCTGTAGAGGTGAGTGTTGTTGTTGTCCATGTAGATGTTGTAATTGTCTTTTCAGAGGTGTGTGAAGGTCTGTTCACAGGAGCTGCTGAAAATAAAAATGACAAAAAAAGAGGAATTTAATCAACATTTGTAAAGCTACGTGAAATTATTTCAATAGGAAGACAAATGTATTATATTCACAAACCATTTTCATAAAACCCACCTTGACGAACAGACAGATTCACTTTATTCAATTTGTCTCTGAACCATTTGTCAACTCCACAATAATAAACACCAGAGTCTTTGAGTCTGAGATCACTGATGGTTACAGTGAAGGACCTTGAACTCACAGTGTCGATCAAAGAGTATCTTCCATCAGAGACGACCTGGTCAGTCTTTTCACTTTTAATCAAAACATGCCCTGATGATCCACAGGGATCCCGGCAAAGGAATTTGGGCATATATTTGTAATCATTTGAATATGGACATCTGATCTCCACCTTTTCACCCACTGTACCCTCATAAACATTATCAGACTTCAACGACACAACACTGAAAACTAGAGAAAACAGTTACAATTTTCAGTTGAGTTAAATAGAGAACAGCAAATAAATTACACTTTGTAAACTTTGACCCATTAAAATTTCAACAACATAAAAACAATTGTCAAACTCCACAAAGCACTCAAGATGACTTCAAACAGTTATATTTAAGTTATAAGTGATGAATTCAATGTGAAATTATCTATGATATATTATTATTTAATCAAAATATTGTATGTAATGTTATCACAAATAAATATTATGAATGATTGGTATGGCTATCAAACAGGAAATGGATGGAAAATGTAAAGAAAAAATATATATTACCTACAAAAAGACACAGAATGTTCATAAGAGTTTTCATTCTCCATAAAATCATATCCACCTCAAAAGTGTAAGATTTTGTAAAGAAACTTTAACAAACTAACAATAATCTAAGTCTAATATCTGCTTACTGTTTCTCACTGCAACACAACTGCGAACTTAAAAGATGTCCCACCCTAAGAGAGAGAGAGAGAGAGAGAGAGAGAGAGAGAGAATTTTTTTTCAACTGCTTACACACATTTTCAAAACTTTGCTTCTTTTTTTCAAAACTTTTCACACAAATCCAAGAATTTCACACACAAAATTCCTCACATCTCTTGCAAAATGAAGCACTGCATTCAAAATATCATCAAACATTTCTCACTTTGCCATAATATTATATTTTTGGATATGTCATACAGTTATTCAAAACCTAAAGGTCTTCTTTCATGAGCTCCAAATTTGCACATTTCTGGACAAGATTGAAAGTAATTGGCAGAGAGATTCACAGGGATGAAAAATTCACAGTAAACACGAAAGCAAGATTTGAAACCAAAATTGTTATATTTTTACTGTAAATTGGTGGTTGTGAATACAGTATTACATAGTCCGAAAAACCTATAACTTGATCTTTGGCCTATTTATGGCCTATTTTTTATTTTTATTTATTTATTTTTTTCAAATTGCTTTCACACAATTTCTGAAACTATGGCTCCATTTGTTGAAACTCAACACACAAAACCACAAAACACACATACAACATCCAAAACATCAGACATCTCTTGCAAAAGCAAACACATCATTAAAAACTATTTTAACTCTTCCAAAAATTGTGTTTTTGCATAGTGAATCTACACACAAACATAAAGTTTTGATTTCTAAGTGTTCAATTTATTTATAGTATTTTCACACATGATCATTGGGTGTAGGTAATCAGGAAATGATTGTGGCATTTAAGTGGCAGTGTTTCCCAATTGAAACAAAAGAGCTGTTAGTATTAAATGATGTGTCTAATGAGAACTGTGTTTAGAGTTTTGCAAAAAGTTTGTTTTACAATTTGTGTAAAACGTATTATGTGCTTGCAGTTTTGGTCTGAAGATTTGGGACATGAGTGAATGGTTTCACTGAGTGAGCCTCAAGTTACACTTTTAGTGAAAGCAATTTAAAAAAAAAATGTAAGTAAAGCAATGAGTGTTTGCACATGTTTGTGTGAGGCACTGATGAATTAATGTGGCATTTTCATAAGTTGTGTTTGAAAAAGGAAATCAATATACAGAGAATTGTGTGTTGTGGTTTGCTAAAAGTGTTTTATGAAATTGAAACTTGAGACGAAGGTCAAGAATCGGTTTTCCAGATTTGGTGTGTGGTTTTGTTGTTTGAAGGATTTTGTGTGTAAGCAGTTGAAAAAAACTGAAAGCAGTGAAATTACAACATAAACAATCAGAAAGAAGCAAACCTATGTTGTTAATAAGGAAGAGAGAAAGGCAGCAAGTACAAAAAAAGACTAATAATTTGTACAGGAAAATCTTATGTTCTGTTCATTTTTCAAATATGCAAAACAAAGATGCAGTAAAACACAATATTGCAAAGTACACATTTGAAATCAACACAAATCAATAAGTTAAAATTGGTGTGTGTGTGTGTGTGTGTGTGTGTGTGTGCGTGTGTGTGTGCGCGAGCGTGTGTGTGTTCTGACACTCAGATTAATTGCAGTCCTTTCCGGAAATGAAGTTTGTGAAGGGAAACAGCCTCATTGCAACACCTGCTATATCAGTGTGCACATGTATTCAAGAAAACAACACACTAACACTCCAAACCACATTTTAACTCTGCTGATATCATATCACCATGGTAACGTTTTACTGACATTTCATGGTTTAATATTCCTATTCAGGATGTATGCTACTCTTAACTACTTTGTGTTGCCTTGTTAAGAAACAAAAATTTTCAGTCATCAGTATATCACATACCTTTATGTTTTACTCACCCCTTTGTGCTTCATTAAACAACCTTTCTGTGTCAAAGCCAAAAATGGTCACTTTTTCCACAGATCTTGACTGTGATTTTGCATAAAGCCATTCTTTCAGATATTTTATTTTCTGTGGCTCTGTGTTTAACTTTAAGTTATCCTCAGGGGCAAAAAAGAGACAGATATAGAATAAACAAGCTTTAATATAAGAGACACTGGGGTAAAAGAAATTCTCCCAATAATAATATGCACCATCAGTCTAAATAAACACAAGAAGACTCAGACACACAAAGGTGTAAGATGTGGATTTCATAATTGCTCATAAAATTTGATCTCCTCATTCATTAAGTGAGGCAGACTATTAAACAAATAGACAAACAATATGTTTTTTTAAAACCACTTTGCATTTACAGTACATTACAAAAGCTATTTTAACATAGGAAATGCACACTATTAATTTAACACATCAGCTCAGTTAAATGTCACAGCCTGACGCACATGTCCACAGCAGGATGTTTGCAGACAGTGCCTGTTTTAGCAAGCTGACCACATGCATCATTTCACACCAACAGGGTTTCAAGAATGAGTTGGGTGTTTTTTTGGTGTTGTTCTAGTTATTGATCTAGTTATTTATCCTCAGTGGTGTGTGATCAATGAATACAAATCGTTTACAGGTGCACAGTGCTGCACGGTGGAATATAATACAGGAGAATAGGCATCTCTAGCTGGACCAGGCGGGCTGTTCTCAGTCACTAATTCATCGTAGATGTGATGGACATCATATACAGTCTAGGAGATATAGGGGTACACATGCAAAAATAAATGGTGTACATTCAACATGTTTAGCATAATCTTGTTTAACTCATTTAAATGTACATAATGCTGATCAATTGTATTTGGTTGGGTTAATGTGGTTTGTAATCAGATATTGGTGCTAGGATAAAATTGTGCAAGAGCAGATGTTCCCATACCCGGCTGAGATCTGGTGAATCTTGAACTGAATTTTCAGGAACACCACAGTTCAAACCTAAAAGAAACATGATGGTGTAGAACCCATTCAATGTGACTTAAAGTGCATTAGTGATCTAAACCAAATAAATGATCATAGCATTACTAAATACCCAGCAGTCACACCAGTTATCATATATGATTCTTTAAAAAAAGATGCAATGGGGCTTTTTAAAATCACTTTTGGGCATTTGAATCAGATCAATGTGTGTGTGGTCTTACCACCTGACGTGGAGTGTGATCTTTTCCAACAGAGAAACACTACAGCCACAAGAACCCCAAACACCAGCAGCGCCAGAACACCTGCACACACCACAGCCACACTGACTGAAATAGAAAGAGAAAGACAAAATGTTATCATTAAGTTTTCTGTAGCATGTTAGGCTTATCGAGCAAACTGTTATTCATGTTAGGACAGTCATTATTAAAAAATCTGGTATGAACACAATGTTACACAAATAAATTCATACAAAACGACTGCCTTTGACTTGACAGTGGGTGAGAACTGCTCACAAGACGACTTATCTGAGAGAGAGACAAAAAGAGAGAATTACAGATTTATAAAAAAGAGGTAGAATCTCGCCTTTAAAGAGAACACTGAACATTGAAATTTAATTTTAAATATAAATGTTTTTCAAAAGCAGGCCCAACCAAACTAATTTGAGTATGTTTTTCTTAAATAATAAATAATCTAACTACTGTTGTAAAATGTATCATTAGTTTGGAGACTAGATGTAGCTACTGTAGAGTTGAGTGTTGTTGTTGTCCATGTAGATGTGTTAGTTGTAGTTGTAATTGTCTTCTCAGAAGTGTGTGAAGGTCTGTTCACAGGAGCTGCTGAAAATAAAACGGACAAAAAAGAAGAATTTAATAAACATTTGTAAAGCTATGTGAAATTATTTCAATGGGAAGACAAATGTCTGTAATATACACAAACCGTTTTCATAAAACCCACCTTGACGGACAGACAGATTCACTTTATTCAGTTTGTCTCTGAACCATTTGTCAACTCCGCAGTAATAAACACCAGAGTCTTTGAGTGTGAGATCACTGATGGTTACAGTGAAGAACCTTCCACTCACAATGTCAATCAAAGAGTATCTTCCATCAGAGATGACCTGATCAGTCTTTGCACTTTTAATCAAAACATGTCCTGATGATCCACAGGGATCCTGGCAAAGGTATTTGGGTGTATATTTGTAATCATCTGAATATGGACATCTGATCTCCACCTTTTTACCCACTGTTCCCTCATAAACATTGTCAGACTTCATCAGAACGCTGGTCAAAACTAGAGAAAACTTCACGTCAGTCTATTTGTTAAACTGAAACATTTTTACACAATGATTTTTTCCTAAAATAAATTTTAGGAAAATTTTAACTTTATTTAATTTAACTTTAAATTCACTCACATTTATATCTTAGCCTGCAATCAGATGTCAATGTAAGCATCTCTAAAAATGAGACATTGACATCATTCTGAATTGTCAATGGGCTTTATGCACAGCTGCACTACTTCCTGAACTTAAGCCAGCTCCTTGTTTTCTGCCTGCCATTATTGGCCAAATTGATTAATTCAGGTGTGCCTGACCTCAGTAGTCACGGCAACAATAATTAGACACACCTGAATTAATCAATTTGGCCAATAATGGCAGGCAGGAAACAAGGAGCTGGCTTAAGTTCAGGAAGTAGTGCAGCTGTGCATAAAGCCAATTCAGGCAAGACCATTTAACCCTGGAATAATGTAACTATCAATGAAATGTGGATTACAAAACTTTTGTTAGTAAAACACCTTAGTCAAATTTCAGGTCATTGGTATATTTTACTTAAATGGTCACTAAATTCATGAAGTTCCTCTTTTAACATGCACAAGACTAATACAAGATGAATGAATATACATCAAGCAGGAACAAATATTTACCTGCGAAAAGAGACAGAATCGTTAGATGGGTTTTCATTCTCCCTAATGTATCATCCTCTTCAAGCAAGACATGATCTTTATAATAACCGACAACATAACACTACACAACATTATAATCTGCTTCCTGTCTCTCACTTGTCTGCTCCATCAGTTAACACAGAGAGAAGAGAGAGAAAGAGACCTACAAAAGAACAAACCAATGACAGTTTAACAATAGGTGAGGGCCGGATTTATGTAGGCTAGACACATGCCTGCTCGCACATATGAGTTAACAAGACTGTGAAAGGCAAAAAAAGCCAAAGGACAAGGGAGCCAGTTTTCAGCTATTAAAGGGCACCTATTATGCCCCTTTTTACAAAATGTAATATTGGTCTCGGTTGTCCCCAGAATGTATTTGTGAAGTTTCAGCTCAAAATACCCCACAGTTAATTTATTATAACCATTTGAAAATGTCATTTTGGGGCCTGTTTGAAAATGAGCTGTTTTGAGGCATGCCACTTTAATGCAAATGAGCTGCATATCCCCACCCTGCCTTTGGACGAGGGCGTAACTTGATACCTATGGCAGTCGAGTCGGGCTAAGCAGAAGGGGAGAGTGAGAGACGCGCTATTTTGTCTGTCATTCAGCGTACGTTTGAATCGGAATAAATAAATAGCACGAAGAGACTCCGGCTGAATAAATACAAATGAGAATGGACTAGTATGTCTCGGTATGGTTATTTGATACATTTATGTACTTTAGCGTTGTAATCACGTCCTCTTTGCAAGTATGGTGGAGCAACACACACACACAGACACACAAACACTAATGCTGGCGCATTTTTTTTTAAACTAACGTTACATACACATTCTGTGATAAAGTTTGCTACGTAACTTACAAGCGAAATTACATTCATGCGAGGGACCTGTGGCGTCATGTTTACTTGTCATACAGGTGCTTCTGTGGCAAATGTGAGAAGATGGCTAACTTACAGAACAAGAACATATATGCGGTTTTTAATACAATATCTTTAAAAATATATATATTTATAAACGTGTGGTTACACACTATACAAACAAGGTTTAAATTATATACACAGACATCCTACGACGACAACAACTTTAGACGCATTTGTTGTTGAATTGGCTGACATAGACTGAAAAGACTATTTGCTCAAAAATCATAAAATACACTTACTGTTACTGGATGTGACGGTGGATCGCAAACAGTAGACGATGATCCACATCTGAGGATTAACTTTTAAGCCACAACAACAGGATTAACCCACAAGTCCACGACAGAACACTTAAGTTATGTTTCCAAGAGACATTACCGGCTGTCGTTGAAACAATGGAGGATGATGTGTACAGATCTGTCCGATATGTTCCTGAAAAGTCACAATTCCCACAATAATGAATAAGGGTCTTATCTGGCGAAAAAATAAAATAAAAAAAAATAAAAAATATCTTCTATATCGTTCGTGACTCTCCTGTTCGAACTCGTTCATCAAAATGAACAAATCTTTTTTCGAATCATTTGGCGTTTAAAGCCCTTTGAAGCTGCACTGAAACTCTCATTTGGACCTTGAACCGTCTGGTACCCATTAAAGTCCATTATATGGAGAAAAATCCTAGAATGTTTTCATCAAAAACCTTAATTTCTTTTTGACTGAAGAAAGAAAGACATGGACATATTGGATGACATGGCGGTGAGTAAATTATCAGCAAACTACTCCTTTAAGTCCTATTGTACCGAATTTTGGTTTGAGTTCCACTGGGGGCGATTGTCCGAGTGCAGAATGAATGGGAGTCTATGGGGCTAGATGCCTAAATTTGTCTCTTTCACCCGATTGCCGTGAGAAATCTCAGATTTGAGTCTAGGTTTTGCAAGTTCAACATGGGTTATAGGTCAAAAGTTGAATGAACGAGTACTTTCGAGCCTTTCGATTTCTTACAGGCTGAGTTGTTGTTGCCCATAACTTGCTAGCATTCTGCTAATGGACGCTGATTGGTCAGTGAAGGTCGGATTACGACCAGAGACACCGCTTGATGGCATCGTGGCTTCTAAAGAAGCGGGAACAATGTTATGGCAGACTTAACTCTTATAACACATTTATTTACATGTGTCAGCTGTGTTGTCGATGCCTCAAAAGAGAGAAAAGAAAGTGCAGAGTGCAAAAGCATAGACATAATAATAATAAATACATAGACGCCCAATGGGCTATATGCACGCATAAGTTCCGCATTTGACGTAAGGATGCTCGTCCATTTCCGGTTGTGTAGATTAAAGCGGAGGAAAACCGGAGAAAACGGGATTATGGCAGAGTCTTCAATATTTACTGTCCTCCCGTCTTTGAAACGAAACGTACATACGTTTAGATGTAATTTTATATATAGTTATGTTTATTTAATATAATTTTTAAAAGAAGCATAAACACAACGAGGGGTGTCTGTTTTATCTGTTTTTGTGACTAACGTTTCTTTAGTATAACCATGGAGTATAAAATTCAATATAAATTCTCGGTATTGCATTGGACTCTATGATCGGCGGAAGTTATCGAGCATCCTTAATCCTTCACCGGAAATAACGCCGTGCATAGAGCCCATTGGCTTTGGAATGTTGCTGCGATAGTTTTCTTATTGTGGAAAAAGCATTTTCTGTGATCGACCCGATTTTAGCAATAACAAAGATAACTGATGGATCCTTTATCTATGGTAAGAATACGATATGGTACAACTACAGTGCAATGGAAAAAGTAAATATAAGATAAAGTGAGAAGTAATAGTAAATATTTTAGTCAACAAAATAAACAAACAGTATACAGCAAATATATATATTTAAAACAACCCAAATACACCTATATACATTTGGATGCTGCATTTAGCAAATTCTTAAAGAAAAAAAAAATGTAAATAATAAATCAACTCATGGCTGATTCCAAGTGATCAAGGGCTTAGAACGTTCCAATTCAGCACATCGCAGTTTCCGCTAGTAGTGGGCACTTAAGCAGTAATGTAGGCTACATACGAGTAGGCCACCACCGGCCTCGCACCGTTCTCCACACGGCCCTAGCCTCGTCCCACCAGACCAGATGTTTAGATTTCAGATAATCCTAATCAGCTTTATTTCAGAGTGTCTAAACCAGTTAAGATGGAATCTCATCTTGATGATTCAATGACTCCGCAGATGATGATGATGATGGGGCACTGGAGGACTGCAAGGGAATCTGGTAGAAGCACATACCCTGGACAGATGCTATCTCAACCGCTTAGGGATCTCAACCTGAAAGGCAGATTAAAAAGAAGATTAAGCATTTATAATAAAATATTAAAATTTAACTGCTCTTTTGATAAAAAATAACAATAGTGTTATTAAAAGGGTCATGAACAGCATTGTTTTATTGTTTTATAATGGGGTGCACTTAAAATGTTAGTATGATTTTTACATTCATTTTTTTTTTCATAATTTAGAAATAAAAGCCACTTTCCTACCCTGCTTTTAGCCCTATGTTTTCAACGCAGTTTGAAGGGGCATGACTGCTGTGAGACGTCAGTGTAAACGCCCACTGCGGTGACATCTTTGCTTATGAAATAGCTAGTATTACATGTAGCAGTCTCTCGAAAACTTAAGCACATTTTTACTATTATAGCTCTCAAGATTAACTAATATATAGCATTATATTTAGATTGTGGCATGAAAGGTTGCAGTGATGAGCATTGTGGCCAATCACAGACATGTTGAGGGCATGAATGCTCTCTTGATTTCTACACACTAACGGATGTTTTCATCATAACTAACAGTGTAAACACAATGTAAATAAGAGATTCATTCATTGATTATAACCAAAGACTACAAATAAAAGGGACTTTGTTAAAACAGGAGTTTTGTCTTAGTCACTGATAAACTCGCGCTCTTTGATTGATATCTCCAGTGATGTAAAGGGAGTGTTCTTTGATCGCATTCTAAATATAATTTATTTAATCACATTTTAAATTACAGATTATTTTCATCCTACTAAGACAAACAATGTGAAGTTGACCGTTTAGTCACTGGTTTGATTTACTGACACATAGACAAAGAACATCTGACAGTACATGAATCGTTACATATCAGAAATCACTGTCACAGACCAGGCATTAAAATTAAGTTACTTTTGTCGCATTACTGTCGAGTCCATTTTGTGGAAATTTTTTTTTTCAAATCCTGGTTCGAAATTGCGACTGATTTAAGAATACACAGTGACATGTACCAAATACAAATATATAATACTCAACTGAGACATTCACATTTTTGAAAATAAATAACCACATTCCTAGCTTTAGGATCCTTTGAAATGTATTGTTGCTTTTAGTCAAGTGATCCTGCTCTTCTCTTCTCATCATCTCACTAACACGCCAGTGAGCGGGGCCAAAGTTGCAATGATGAAGTAGGCTTTGATTTTCTTCTACATTTTGATTACTCTATAATTTTTTTTTTTTTTTTTTAAGAGCTGTCAGGACAGATTAGGTAGGTAATTTCATATAGCCTATGCGTCATTTACCTGTGTTGATATTCACATAGACAACATATCCACACAGAGAAAAGCTTGCTAAAAATTTGCGTCACAATGGAAATACTATTTTAACAGAGGTGAAGTA